TGACACTCCCACAGTCACACTGCTCTAGGAGCGGAGCGGGGCCAGTCCTGGGGTCAGGCTCTGGAATCCATAACCTCAAGTGAGGCCCTCTGTACCCTCTGGTGGGAGGCAGTTGGATCCCAGAGGAAACGGAGTCCCGGAGAACAGGGAGAGATGATGAGGTTCGAGCTGCACGCAGTTGTGAGTTGGCCTAAGAGGAAGAGACCAGTCTAACTCTGGCCCAGAGGACTCTAAGGCTGGGAGGAAGTCGAGGCAGACAGCCAGAAGGAGGAAGGAAGGCCTTCCCTGCGATGTGTTGGCACAGTGACTGGCAGGGCGGTGCAGCCATCTGGGACCTGTGCATCTTTGGGCAGGCCCCGGAAATGCCTAAGCCATAGCCCATTTGTTTCAGAGACTTCTATAAACTGTGACTCGAGCGAGTGAAAAGCCAGCAGCGGGTCACTCAAGGGTTTCCGGTCTCTGGGTCTCTTTGCGGGGCCCCACACACCCAGGTGTGCCAGAGCGCAATGAAACATAGGAGATGGCATTGCTTGGCACTGACGGCAAGTTTGGAACACACAGGAAGCGCTTACACCTTGAAGAATCGTTGGGCGCCTTCCTCACACCACTTCTGGCCAGACTGTCACAGGGTGGTGACATTCTAGGATCACACAGGAGAATCGGACCTTCTTTTGCCAGCCTGAACTCTGACCCAAGCTGCCTGATTTCAATCTCACACCGAGGGCCAAGTAAGAAGGGCAGGCGGGAGACAGACAGTGAGGAACCCCAGAGTGTTCCCAGCCTTTGAGTGCCTCTGAGGTCTCCTTCATCTCTTTTGCCCCCTGATGGAGAGGTGGGGAGGGCTGTCCGTGCATTTTAAAGTTTGGATTTTTACCTCCAGAGCAGTCCGGCTCTCCTTCCCAGGGTCGGGGAGCCAGGAGAGGCTTAGAGACCTGGAACGGCCTGGCCACAGGATGGGAAATGAGCTGGGGCAACCTGCCCTCCAGCCCAGGGCAGGAAATCTCCAAGTGTGGCTGGAGTGTAAAATGTGCAGATTGCACATGTGCACACCCACGGGGATGCAGGGGTGGGAGGCGGTGGGGACAGAGGCTGACTCCTGCAGTCAGGAGCGGTTTGCTCTGTGTGGTTTGCAGTCTGGTCCCTTGGGGGAAGTGGGACAGCGGTACTGAGCTGGTGTGGCCTCTCCTGTGGAGCCGGGGCCGTGTCCCCATGCGCAGAGTAACCTCCCCTTATTAACTACGCTGTGCTGCACCTCATTTCTCCTAGTCCTTCCAAGTGTGTTACAAACAGCTACACGCTCGGGGGCCCGAAGCCACTACTTTTGGTGCTTTGAAGAGAGCGGGGAAAGTGGTGACTATGGACCCGCTGGAGCTGTTCTGAGTCCCATGCCCTGCATCCGGCAGAGCACTGTCCTGCCAGTTAAGGGAACCTGTGTCAGGGCTCTGGGAAAGTGGAGGCGGAGTTGGGATCAGACCTTGCGCTCCCGGCTCTTGGGCTACCCACCTGCCCTCCAGAAGAGCAGCCGTGGCTGGCTGCTGGGTCTCCTTTGTCTAGCGAGTCTCAGCTGTCCACCGGCCCCTCTTCCTGGAGGGTGGGTGAGTGAGGAAGGCTGCAGGGGCACCAGCTGCAGAGCTGGACTCCGTGAGTCTGGGTGGGGCCCGGGGCTGCTGCCGCAGGAGGCCAGAGACGCCCGAGTGTCACTGAGCGTGGGTACTGCTGCTCCAGCCCCTGCCTGCTTAGTGTCTTTGTGACAGGTCTCTGCTGAGTCAGGGTTTCTATCTTATGGCCTTTTCCTCTTTTCCAAATCCCAGTTTAGAAACTATTTTTAATATTGGGGCTCCATGCAAGATGCAGGTTAACTTAGTAAATCTGAATGTGTGCTGAAGTACTTGATACTTCCAAAATGTGAGCATTTAAGCTAAACAGAATATTTCCCCTGGGATCAGCTATTGTACACAGACCAGCTCCCGGTTTCCAAGGGACTGTGTGAAAGACTCCAGCACGAAAGTGTCCTGCTTCCAAAGCTTCTCGTGTCCTCTCTACATGCAGAACACACAGCTTAAACTCAAGACTTCAATCAACCAATACGTTTGGGTTATTTATATGCTTAAGATATATAAGATTCTTCAGGAGGCAGGGCTCATTTTCCCAAAGGAAAGTACTCTGAGTTAGAAAAGCCACCTCCACTGAACCAAATGAGCCCAAAACTCTTAGTAGCATGTGCCGGGTGGGGTTTATCAATTGGAGGATTGGCTTTTAGCATACTGAACAGCTGCCAGCACCGGCACTCAGGACTGCCGTGATCCAGCAAAGCCACTGCCAGCAGGAGGCTCTCCTGACAGGGTGGCTGTGCCCACCAAATGAGAACAGGGTCCAGGGGAGTGCCCGTGGGATGTACCCTCTTTGTACATCTCTTTGTTAACAAAGAATACGTTGTGCCCAAGACCACAGCACTTTCCCATGAATGCGTAAACGTGTTCTTGAGGAAACTGGCTACCTCCAATCACATATCAAAAGGGAGGCGGTTGCATTGTTTTCCACACAGTAGCCAGAACTGAGAATAGAGAACGGTACCACAGAGATTGGGGCTGAGGGCTGGGCAGGCGTCTCCTGGCTGGGCTGCCCACTCGTGTGGCCTGGCTGAGCAGTGACACCCACTCGTGTCTCCAGGTCCGGTCTGGCAAGGAGTTTACCAGCCATCAATGAATTCAGTGCAAACAAGGGTCAGCTTCCAGCCCACCCCCCAGCCGAGGAGTCAACCTTCAACACAACAGTTAACCCATGGCTAAAAGCATGGCCCAGTTCCATCAAACCCTAATTTTGCTGGCTAATACACCAAGGTTGGACTGAACTCAGGAATGGCTCTTTCTAGGCTAATTGTTCCATATTTCCACATTTATGTGCTCGTGTTGTTTCTCACCTTAACCTTCTTGACTTACCAAGGGCTTTACCCAAATGGTATCCACTCCCCTGTAGTGGACATATAGAACAGATCTGAGAGACAGATGTGTTTTCTTTCTCTCTCTCTCTCTCTCTCTTTTTTTTTTTTTTTTTTTTTTTTTTTTTTTTTGGTACCAGGGATCAAACTCAGGACTCTGTGCTTTCAAGGCAGGTGCAGTACTTCTGAGCTAAATCCCAGACCCTGAGATGGGTTTTCTGTTAGGCATAAGCTCCAATGACACCAACAGTACTGGAGCTAAGGCAAGGCCTGAAGTCCCACTCAGTTCAAAAGGTGTTGGACACTTCATCTGTAGTCTACTCAGCATTTAAATGAGCAGGGAATAATTTAACTGATTCACTCTAGGGTTTAGTTCAAGTTGTCATTCAGAATTGTGATGTTTTCTACAGAATTAGTATCACCAATAAGAGGATTTTATACCACAACCAATGACCATAAAAGCTTACTGATATGGTGAAAAATGATAGAGAAAGCAGTGATCTGAGTTATCACCAAGGCTTCTGAATCACTAGACAGGGTTATTTGCTTCCCCGATGACGGTGCACCTTGGTTACTCAGGTAAACCCCAAGTTGGTTAATTTATGCCACCTTTCTGCTGCTGCTGTTTTTCTGGTCTCATCTAGTGGGAACCTGGTCATATTTACCAAACTCCTTTCACTTCGATCGCATTCAGTTCTCGTTTTTTGTTACCCACCCATTGCAAACGATTTTAGTCTCCACTGACTCTGACAATCGGTCAAGCGTGAAGTCACCCAGGTTCTAATTCCAGCCTGGACTGTCTTGCCCAGCAGCCCAGGGCTTCTCCCGGAGCTCAGAGTCCTTTGGAGCTTCACTGGAAAGACTGGAATAAAGGAATTTGCCTCATTCAGTCTGTTCTCCCATTCACATGACATAAGGCAATGTCTACTATGACTTTCCTGATCCTTATTTACAAGACAATGCGAGAGGAAACCGCGTGCAAATGTATGTGTTGGAAATAGAAATGATACACTGCACAGATACAGTTCACCACGTTCTGGGATGGGTTGTCAGTGCTCAAATGGGGACCCTGATGAGTAGGAACAGATGTTTTTTCTCCTTAATGGCCTTTTCCCTCATTTAAAATCCACCCATTGATTTCCCTGTGATTTAGTGATAACTTGAAACACTTTAACTAAATTACCCAGTGGCTTGGCAGCCATCACGGAGGCAAATCTTTTTAGAAATCCTAGCAATCTGTTAGATCACGGGTACTATGATATAAAATCTGCATGCAACAAAATCCAATCAGTGCAATGGATACAAACACACACTGCAAATGGCATCATTTCCAAACTGAGGGTCCGTAACCTGCCTCCAAATATTGAATTTGTTTTATTTTTTCAGTTGTTGACTTTCTAAATTTGGACCAATTTATTCTCATTATCCCTAAGTAAACCTGCTTTGATTATTTGTAACAGTTATTTTATATCAAATAGGACCAGCCAACCCTGCCTGATTCATGGGTCCTGATGTTGCTAGGAGACGAGGGTCTGTAGCTGATGAAAGTACATCACTGCAAAAGGGAAAACTTTCAGGCATCCTAGAAAAAGACACTCTTGTCTTCTATTGCAGAAGACAGACCCAATCTTCAAGCTTTCTGAGAAGCTCGGACTGCAGGATTAGCCTCCCCAGGCTTTGAAATAGGCATCTTCCCTGGGGGGCTGTCCAACTACTATCCACAAGCAGGTTGGTCTTAAAGCAAGGAACACATGTATTTATAATAAAACACGTTTTCATGTTGTGTCACAGTGAAGAGAAAAAAACCCAGAACCCCCAGATTTTATGTACTTTGAAAATATATTTAAAAACATTAAAAATTCTATATTTAAAACATATATTATATGTTGATTGGTACACTTAAATAGAACTTGTATTTACAATAGGCTTCTGATGCAGTTAAGTTTTAATGCCAAAATTTTCAATAACATAATTATATAAATATACTAAAATACAATAAATATTTTTTTCTTGTTTTACATGGTGAATAATATCTTTACCATAGAGAGAACAAGGCCACAGACATTAACTTACATTTTCAATGGGAATCACCATAAAAAAGCAACAGGCCTACTGCCATGCATAAAAACACTTCTGCCACAAAAGGACCACAGCAAAAACAGAACATAACAGGAACGAACAGCAACAGAGAGAGACTTTAACAAAATAAACTGTAGGTCAACGTAAATCACCAAGCGTGGGACTGTGATGTTTATGGTTAGTAAGAGAGCCACGGACGTCGTCTACCACAAAGCCATGTCACAGGTCTGGTCCTTGTAATACTTTTAAGACTGCAATGGTGACTTGGTTTGGTTTGGAACTGTTGTTTCTCAAAAGGAAGCTGCGAAAAGTGAACAGACAGCAGATGTTCCAAGCATTCCTACAGGTTCAAAACAATTACAAATATTGTCAAACGGCACAAAACAAACCTATACTACAGAAAGTCTTCCCAAGACAGGTATTCAGGTGGAACCATGGAGGAGAGGCCAGCTCTGCAGAAAGACTGAACAGAGGGAAACTGTCTGCTGCTGGTATCTATCTAACCCCTGGGTCCCACTGGAACATCCTCTCTCTTATCCCTCACCTTCTAAGATGCAGTAACTGCCTGAAGCTTGGTCTGGGCCTCAGGACCCTGGTCCAGGTGGTCACCACTAGCATTTTCCGGTTTGGAAGCGGGATGAGTGGGTAAATGGGCCGAGCGCCAGTTTTAACTGGGTCCTCCCAGAGCACTATCTAGCCTCCCAGCCTCACCTCTCCCAACTCAAAGGGCAGAGGGCAAGCAGGGGCCAGGAACAGCTGGAGTGGGAGGGGACGCTGTGGTCCTCACTGGGGAGCCAGGAGCTGTCAACCGTCCTGGCCTCTCCAGAGCAAGGCTTCTCACTAAGTCTTGTCTCTGGACAAGATTCCTATCCTTTCAGGCCTTGATCTTTTGAAAGCCTGAGATCTTTTCCTGTTCTCTTTCCTTTTCCCACAATGTTCTCAAGGGACAAAACCCTGGTTTCCTCAAAGTCTAATTGCAAAGCAAGGAAGGGTTCTTGCAGTAAATATCTGTGATCTCAGGGGACGGAACTCCTGATCACAAAACGCCACCTTGGCTCCTAACCTGCTCCAGGCGAATCCTCCAGCTTCATGCACAACGATCCAGGGTGGGGTGGAGAACAGAAGTCAGCTTGGGCGCGGTCCTCCGAGGAGAACCCCTTGAGCACAGTTAGATAATGTAGGCACTTAAAGCACGAGGTCCAAGCAGATTGACACGGGTCACTGCGGGGCTGCCTGTGGCGGTGATGCTTCAGGAATGTCTCGAGTGCCCTCCCCACCTCCGCCTGGACCTAGGGGTGGCCACTCACACATTCCTCCTGCGCTGCCAGCAACCAGCCTGTCAGCCCCGCCGGCCTCTGCAGGGCTGTTCGTCTGTGTCACCAGCCACGCAGAGTCCTGCTGTGACCTAGGGGTCCCTGGGTTCATATGGAGCTCGCCATCTCCCCGACAGGACACCGCTAAGCCTAACTGTGACTGTAAAGCATCACCATGATTTATACCCAGATGACCCTTCGTAAAAAAATACTTCTTTGGGGGTTATTTCTTAGTGTTATTTTTCTCTTCTAAAAAAAATAATAAATCACCGTTTTCCACGCGTGCCGTGATGGGCCACAAATTGTTCACAAAAGCAGAAGGAGATTTCAAAGCGCGCAACTGAACTTTCTTCCTTAAGTTAAAGTGAGACAGAGGGGGCTGAACAGGGAGGAAGGGAAAGAGCAGCCTGAGCCGAGAGACAGGTCTTTGGGATCAAGAAGCTTTCCAGGTCCAGAGCAGGGACCCAGGAGGTAACTCGGGAAGGGCAGTGAGGGCGTTGATGCAGTTGTCTTCGTTTGCATGTGCTTTCCAGGCATCTGGTGGACACTGCAAACTCTGTTACCGTCCAGAATGGATAGGAGAACCCTTTTCCCGTCCCTACTCCCTGTGGGATCTCAAAAAAAAAAAAAAAAGTAAAAAAGAAATAAAATAAAATAACAAACAAACAAACAAAAAAAACACAAAACAAACAAAAAGATTCCCCTCCCGTCCCATCCCCTAAGCCAGTAAAGCAATGACAACAGCACCTTCACACTGTTTTAATTCCAATGCTATCAGAAGTTAAAAGCAGTAAAACAGACAAGAGTACTAACAAGAACGAAGATACTTACTGTCTAAAATGTAAACGGAATGTTTTGGTTCAAATTTTTGTTTTTGTCTTTTTTTTTGTCTGTTTTCTGAAAGAGGACAGTTTATTATCAATTCACAATTAAAGCAGCATGCAATTTATTAGTATTTTTTAAACTTTTTATGTTTTCGATTCTTGGCAACGGCAACAAACCACAACATTATCGAGGAATGTAATGCAGACTTTTGTTTAACGTTGTGTGCAAATGACTGTCCCTCTGGTCATGGACAAGTCCAATAAATAGATTGTAGAACCACTGTACTGTATAAACGTCATTTATACATGCAGTTCATAGAATCATTTCTTCTTCACTGAATAATTTACCCTGTTATGTATATATACAAATAGATAATTTTGTCTCAATATACTCTCTACAGCACGCAGCACTATCTTCCCCGCTTAATGGTCAGTGTACACACACAGGAGGTGTCTATCCTTATGAAACGCCAGCCGATCCTCTTTTTGCTATCCATGGTGAGGGCCCGCACGTACGACTGGGTAGTTCGACACTGCGAGTTCCAGTGCCTCTTGTCTATGCCTCTGCACCCGTCCTTGGTGTAGCCCATGGGGTTGCACTTGGTCTCGTAGAAGTACTGCTTCAGCTGGCCTTTGGACACGGGGACCTTCTCCAGGACGGTGACCGTGCCGCCGGACATGTCCACTGCGGTCTTTTTCTCCGCGGCGGTGACCCACTCGCTGATGCTGTCACACACGCTCAGCTCCCCGCGGCGGGCCGGGTCGGAGTGGCGCCGCACCCGCATGGACATGTTGGCCGCGTCCAGGTGGTGTTTGTACTCCTCCAGCAGGAAGAGGAGGGGCGGCTCCAGGGGCACCTGGCTGCTCAGCATCACGCGAGACGTGTACAAGTCCGCGTCCTTTGCGCTCTCCTCGCGGGGCCTGGCCTTCCGGTCCTCTTCCAGCAGCTCCTCGATCACATGCTCAAAGGTGTCCGCCAGCGACGCGGACGCTGGGCCCGGGCGCGCTGTCCAGAGCCCCGCGGGTCCGCCCTCCGGGGTAGGCCAAGCTGCCTGGGCCTCCTCGGACGCTGGCTTCCTTCATGGGCGCGGCCTTCATGCAACCGAAGTAGGAAATAACCATAGTAAGGAAAAGGATGGTCATCACTCTTCTCACCTGGTGGTACTGCGGGGACAACAGAGAGATACAGAGCGGTCAGTGCTTCCCTCCCAGGGCCGCAGTTCCAGACCCACCCGGGCTCGGGGTTTTTACTTCAGCCGCATGCCCACAGGCCGCTGTTGGGGACACGCTGGGGCTGGGGGTCCTATAAACCCAGCCAGCCATGCAGGGCTTCTCCCGATACTTAGCACACAAACTTGAGATGAAATGGCTTCTAAGCAAAGGAAAAAAACCCATGGCTTCCTTTGTCCTCTTACCCCCCACCTCAGCAGCTTTGTAAGCTTAATTTTTAATGATCTCTGCTCCGGCTGTCACAAGAAACACAAAATCAGAAATGTTACTAAGCAACAATTCCAAGTGTCATAGTACTTTTTTTTTTTTTTTTTTTTTTCCTAATTAGCAACATGGCCCTTTGCAGAAATGTATCACAGAAACAGGAGAGGCAGGGGTCTGGGGGTCTGGGGGTGCTGGCTCGCTGGCCATTTGTAGGAACCAACAGCACAGCCAGAAGCAGCCAGAGTGCAGCCAGGCCTTGGGTCTGTTTTTATGCCGCACAGGTAACTGTCCTAGCAGAGAAGGGGGCATTTCATGAGGCCACCGCATTTCACAGACAGGGAGACCAAGGCACTGTGTGAAGACAGTTTAGAGATTACAACCCTGGGTTCCCGGCTCCGCTGTTCTTTCTGCTACACCTGGGTGGCCAGAAGTCAGAACGTTTGCTTATTTCCCAACAGAAATCAAGTTCAATACGTTCATTTTAATGATGTGTCTGTGCCTGGGGCTGATGTCATGAAAGCCAGGCGTGTGCTTCGGAGAGCTGGAAAAGTCCGTGCAGAAAGGGGCACTGGAGGCAATTTTAAATACCACCACTGACTTCCCAAGCGCCCCCCGGCTCTTCAGGCTAATGCTCTGATCTAGCAAGGAAGCCCTGCTTCCCTTTTCATGGGAAATGTGTCAGTGTTTTTTTTTTTGTTTGTTTGTTTTTTTTTTTTTTTTTTTTTTTTTTTTTGTGTGTGTGTGTGTGTGTGTGTGTGTGTGTGTGTTAATACCTTTAAAAGGCTGAGTGGCATTTCACACACTTTGGAGCAGTCAGTGAATGCTTCTTTCTGTGCTTTTGAAGTTTCCTGGGAAGCCCCTTAATAGCACACCACAAAATTAATCTCTTCCCATTTGCCGGAGGCTGGCTTTACGCTACACCAGCCCCACATCCGTCAGCATGCTCTAAGAGCCAATTATCATGGATGAGCAGGCAAAATACAAACATACCTATGGGCCAACCCAAGGTGACCATCAGGTGGTCAAGGACTCGAGAAACACTTACCTGTGTGAGGCCTGTGTCCCTCGAGTAAAGACTGCCATCCCAATCCCAACACTAACTTCATTCCTACTTCTCAGCTCTGGAGTGTGGACTTACAAACACACACACTCGCAACACACACACGCATCCACACACACCCACATACACACTGTACCAAACCACCCGAAAAGGGACTATGTTTGGGGCCACGATGTGTCCCCAGTCACCAAGGCCACCTACCTCCAGTGTACAAGTCAGAGAGCCAAAACGGCTGCAAACTTGGTATTGCAAAGCCCACTGTTTTGCACTTTTGAAAGAGATAACATTTTCTACCAGAAGAAACTTGGTATCACTGCTGAACACAAACACGTCAGACCCTCTGTGTGCACAGATGGCAGGCATTCTCATGGATTGCATGAGGCTCTGAGATTAGGAAGGGCAAACTGGCTGGAATAAAATGTGAGTATTCATTGTGCTAATACCTTAACTTGGGACAGTCGGAATTCTGTATCATCAAAGAAATGGATCCTCCAAGGAGGCTTCTATTCTGGGCAGGGTGTACTTACGCCATTGAATGACAAGCTTTCTCCTAACATTTCCAGTCCAAATTAAAACAACCCAGGGGGCTCCTGCAATTGAGGTCAAGGATTGGATTGCTTCACTCCAGCTGTCTAGGTCACAGGGTGGAGACTTGCTGTCATCAGCTATCTTTTAACACCATGGTTCATCACATCTAAGATACCATCGTTAAAAACACATTGTTTTGTGGACTCCCAGGAAAAAGAAAATGCAGCCGGGCCCCTACTTTGTCTCGGCCATCATGATTCAGACTCTATCCAAAAGTCCTGCCTATGAGAGCCCAAGTCCTTTGGGGGACACTCTTGATCTAAAGTGTAACAAAGAGAAAAGACAGGTGTCACAGTTTTCCTAAAAAGCCGCTTCATTTGGAAGGCACCAGAGAACACACTGAAATTCTGAGCCAAATTATAGGCCACACTAACCCCACAGTATAAGTGCTGAGGAATTTGACAGGTGGTAAACAATTTCTTGAGTTCTTCTAAGGGGGTACAACTTTACTTCAGTGATTAAAAAACAACTGACTCTACAACCTAGTAACTGCTTGGAAACTGCCATGTAGCTGAGTTCCTAAAGCGTCAATGGGAGACAAGAAAGTAGGTTTGGTAGTGAGAATAAAAAAAGCAAAATTTTGAATTTTCACTCCTTCAGTTCCCCTCTTTCTTATTCTTTCAGCCCTTTAATGGGTAATTCTATATAGTGTATTAGAACAGCATGAAAGAGTAAGAGCTTCCATGATAAGGCTCACATCTGCCTCCTTCACCTGCCTCTTTATCCCATCAAAGGCAAAGAGACAGAGCGATACTGCTCTGTAGAGCCTTAGTCTTGCCTAGTTCTACTGAGAACATTTGCTGGTGCTATCTAGTTTGGTTCCAATGCTTAGAACAACCCTTCTACCACATCTGTAGCACCATTCTCAGGAAATACAGAATACTTCACAGGAATAACAAGAAAATAAGCAAGGTAGAAAAGAAATCTGTTTAAACCATGACTCAAAGTCTCAACATGACAGCCTGGGCTCCTGCTGCAGCCCAGCGGTGACTCACAGCCCTGTACACCAAGGTCGCTGGTCCTAGATGTCTCCAAAGAGCTGGGCTGCACAGCAGGTGAGAGTCAGGTGAATGCCCCAGGCCTCCTCTGTGTTCACAGCCTCTCCCATTGCTCACATCACTGCCCAAGCTCCACCTCCTTCCAGATCACAGCATGAGATGCTTCCAGGAGAGTGACTGTATTGGGAACTGTGCGTGTGCATGCCCTCCTTATAAGAGTCCAACCCTGAAACCTTCTATAAACCCCACCGCCCCACCCCCGGCAGGGGAAATAGTCCACAAAACCAGTCCCTAGTGCCGAAAAGGTTGCAGACCACTGGTCTGGAAGGTTACAGAAAACCCAGAAACACCATCTGACTTGACTGTTACAGGGAGACAGGAATGGTCCACGATTCCCACAGTGCAGACGAGGCGACTACAATTCAGAGAGGTGAAGTGATCTGCCACATGTCACAAAGTGAGCAGGTGTCGGAGCTCTTGCACCAGGACCTGCTGCCGGTTTTAGAGTATTAATAAGGCCGCACCACTCTGCAGAGCTGGATGAAGCACGATCTCTGAGACCCTGCAGCCTTTAAAGCCCTGATCACTCCAGCAGCAGAAGTTTGGACAATGCTGTCTTCAAAGGGAAAGCTTTGAAGAAATGTAGGCTCGTTAGAACCAAGCTCCCATTGCCGAAGCTAGGAAGGGAACCAAGCATTACAGATATTGCAGGTGCACGCGAAAGATAAAAAGTAACTGTCAGCCTATGTGTTCCCAGGTTCTAAGCACACAATCAAAGAGAACAGCTGATAGACAGGGCGGGTCCTAGTCCTACAAACAGCAAAGGCGGTGCTGGAGAAACGATCAGTGAATATCTCATTCCTATCACGTGCGACGCCAGCCTACTGAAACACTCCCTTGACGATAGCTCCCAAATCGGTATTTAAAATATTTCATTTCTATCCAGTTTCACCACACTGGTGCACCAGCCTTTCTTTTGTCTGCTCAGAATCAGGCCTGGCATCTACTTTCCATCATCACAGGTTAGGAGAGATGTCAGACAGGTGTGAAGGTGATATGGGAAGACAGCGATGTCCCAGGATGGCACAGACACGGTTCCAGAAGGAGAAGAAGCCGCTTCCAGGAAGGGAGTGCACAGGTGCTTTGTGAGGGAGACTGCCGGCACAATGTGCATCTGGGAAAGGCGCCGGGGGTGGACGGGGCTCGCTGATGGCTCGGAGCTGGACAGCATAGAGGGAGCACCTGCAGAGGCAGGCTGGGTAGGAAGAGGCAGAATCGGACGGAGAGTCCGTGAAAAACTCAAAAGAGAAATCGCATCCGACTCAGCGATTTCCTTTCTAGCTGTCTTCCCAAAAGAATCAACGACACACTGCATCATGTGTATGGCAGCAGCACAAACCCTAACCCGCTAAGTCTTGGAAGTGGCCTATGTGCCCTCAACAATGTGTGGAAGAAGACAATGGAGCACTATTCTGCCAGAAAGAAGGGTGAGCTTGAATCATCTGACGGAAAACAGACGCACCTAGAGGCCACAAACATTAAGTGAAATGAATCAGACACCCAAGCTCAAATAAGATAAATAAAATACATGTACAGTTTCTCTTATAGGAGAGACCTAAAGTATAAATACAGAACCGAATCATGGATAACAGAAAACAGAGAGATAGCTCTTTTGCAAAGGGGAAGGGGCCAAGAGATGGAGGGAGAGGGAGGAAAGGAGAAAGAGTTGACACATAATTAAGATGCGCAATGTAGCAGGACCAACTTCCCACGACTGGAGTCCTTACGCACTGCAGACATGAGCTCATAAAATTAGGCAACTTCATAAAGAGCGACGCCAGGCTGCACCACCGTAGGGGCAGTGAGGAGTGAGCAGGCCACCTGGCACATCCGGGTGCCCACGCGCATTTCTCAGGGGCACTGCTTCCAGAAGAGCAGCTCCACCACCGGGGGAGCCCTGGAGGATGGGCCCGAGGAGACCACACTGAGCTCCAGAAGCGAGCACTAAGCAGCCGCTGCAGGGTGGGCTGCGGGGAGGAAGGTGCTGCACAGAAAGGGTCAACGATCAGCAGTGGCTGGGATGG